AAACATCGATCCTTAGATTCACGGATGGATCGATAGTTAGTTTCGTTCACGAGTGTGTCGCGTGTGAGAAGTTCAGTTCTGTGCTCACCTCCGTTATATTCCTAGTTTCATTGATAATATAGACTTTATTATTTATATCTTCACCGAGTAAGGAGAAACTCGGATTTATTTTATGCCTGCTACTTTGAAGACCGGGGAGTCTCGAATAACAATTTTCTGGGTATGTATTTTGAGAGGAAAAGCGTTGAGAAATTGGATTTTCTTCTATCTGGGACCCCTTTAGCGTCCTGGAATCATATACAATCGATTCTTGAAGGAATCCTGTGTCCTTGCAGCGTTTCAAAATATTCTTGGATCAAGTTAAATGTCCAGGTCCAAACATTCTAAAGCAAATTAGCAAAATAAGTCCCATCTATCATGTCGATCTTTTTCCATTTCTTCGTTAAGATACAAAGATCAACAAGTCTTTGTTCAGGGGGGAGGGGGGTCAAAAGATGATCTCTCCAAGGCTTCGTCTAAATTTCCATGACTTTGACGAAAGGGTTTCTGAGGTTCGAGGAACCTCCAAGGCATAGGAATATCGCGTTTCAAGATCTTTGTACATCGAGGAGGAAATACGGAATGTAAACGCAGAAAACGGTCCATCGAAACGACGACGCCCACGATTTTCACGAAGTTTCGGCCGGACAAAGGAACAAGCTGAATCACTCGCGACGCCAGCCGATCACATGGCGCGGAAAATACAATAATAACGCGCCACGTGGTACTTAGTGATACGTCAACGGAGAGGATTCGAGGAATTCCCTCGCTCGATCCCACGAAACATCCCTCGATCACCAAAAAACACAGTTCAGAAGCAACCACGAAGCTCGGTATCATTGTTGCTATAAAAAAAGAAGTCGTGAACCGGTATCGCGCGCACGATCCAAGAATTTTATTTATCCCGAAAGGCCGAGAGGCTTTTCATCGAATTTTCCGGTGACTAACAAAGAACTGGTACAAAGTCCAAGCAGCTTTGTTGCTTCTGGAACATTGTCAATTGAGACGAACACGTATCCTTGATGGCTTGCTGCGTCAGTGTCAAAGAATAAGTCAGTTTTCGTTATAATTATTCAATTTTTGCATCTTGTTTTCTGTCTTGATTCTTAACTGAGTGCCAGGGGTCATTGCAGGAACTTTGTCGAAATGTGTCAAGGTGTCGTTTTTCATAATATTCCCCCCAAAATCGAAAGGAAACACCGATGGCCAAGAAAAGATAGACTGATGGAGGAATACAAATTTTCTAATAAAATCTGTCACAGTGAAAAAAACCGTACTAGTCAGACACACTGTATTTCATTTTCTAAGTCATAATTCGTCGAAAATATATGCGTTCAGTGAATAAAGACTATTGGTCTTGTTTCAAATTATACTGAAATATTAATTTTCTCCACAAATTTTCTTACAATATTTAACCCTAGGTCCCTAAACTACCCAAACTCACGTTACTACCAAACATTCATAAAAATTACTACTGAAAGAAAGCACATAATATTTTTAAAATATATTATTATTATTATAGAGATAGAAACCAGTGATATAACTATTTAAATAGGTTGAAAAATAAGTTTGAACACATATTGACAACCGCGATGAACCACGAATTCCCTGTCCAAATTCTTACAACCGTTTAGTGATGTAAAATTAAATAATCCAGCCTCTGCAATGTACATGTCGCCCACATTTGGATGACATGTCAGTCAAAGTGTTAAGTGCTACACGGAGGCATTTAATCGTCCCCCCGTAGACCAAGCTTTTGTCAAAACAATGGAGATCAACGTGAAAGCTGGTTAACTCGAGAATCTTCTTCCAAGGCTGTCAGGATTAACATTCTACTTGGTCCCACAGCCGCGTCATCCAGAAAGTTGCTAATACAATAGCGTCTCTCGCCGCCTGTTGCACCCCCGGAATTCAGCTTCAAGATCAACAAGTGGTTCGTCTAAGAGTAACAATGCTTTCTAATGTCCGCCGCCACGTTTCCGGTTGGACGTGAACGCCCCCGTATTGGTCCTTGCCCGAGGCCTTCCGACACAACGCATCGTCCACGCATCCCATTCCCGTGTTGCGAAACACCGAATGGATTTGGCTCGACTGTCGTCGACACACCGTGTGTGTCCGCAGACGTTTCGAATAATCTCGTTCGACGGTGTACTTCGAACGTCGATCCAGCTTGAATCTCGATTTTATATTTAACCAGCCTGTGCACGAAACGTTCTCTACTCGCTGTAAAATCAGCCGCAACTGTCGATGATTTTCGGTTCGTATCCTGTGCAGCATCCGTTGCATTCCTTTGATATTCCAGATTTTTATGTTTATTGCCTTTCCACTTGCCTTTTGATCAGCTTCTTTTATAGCATTATGTGTATAGAGAATAATTTTTATTATTGTAATTAGAATGCCGCAACGAACGAATATATTAACTAGACGGCGGATTTTATGTATTTATACCATACAGGAGCATGTGAAATACAGTAAAATACAAAATTCCGATCGAAAGTAATAAAGTCTTTGGTTTATTTTTATTCTATTTTATCACCCAGAGAAGAAAGAACTTTTTATTTTCACTTCAGTCGTTATAGATTGGTTCATAAAATGTTATTTTGCGGATTTTATGGATTTATGGTTTATATAATTGTTTTTGACTTTTTAATAAGAACCCTAAGCCAATGATATTTGTTTCAGCCATCTATGGTCATTAGTTTATGAAATATTTAATGTTCAGTGTCTAGGAGCCTTCGAACGCTCATCGAGGATTTACTGTATCTCGATTCCGATATTTTCTTACCAGTTACGCGACAAAGGTGCGATATTAATAGCCTCCGATGATCGAAAAACTGACACGTCAGACAAAACTTCGTCTCGATAAAGCTCACGAAAAGGGGAGGGGGAGGCGTGCGGGGAAGGGGGTGGATTTACCGGAATATTTTGCTTGGCTCGCGGCGTAACTGCGTCGATCAAAGCGGTCAGGCGACAATCCAGCGACCGAAGGCCCTCGTATTTTCCACGAACTTACGTTTTTCGATAGTTCCGCGAGCGAACACACACATGCCGAAGAGATCTCAGGCGTATTATAAATCGCCTCAACGAAATTTTGAAACGAAGAGCAGCGGTTGCCAAGCTCGCCTCTAATTGCGAGACGAAGCAGTCGTTCGGGGTAATTTGCAAGGCACCAAGCGCACAAGGACACCCTCCGAGTTCACCCGTTCCTCGAGCACACCGAGAGTTTCGTCGCGAGGATGATACACCGTCTCTCGAAATAGAAGAGCAACGACTCCGCCGTGATCTTGACACTGTCTTGGCAGTCTCGGTGTACATTGTTTATCGGAAGAAAAATGAAAACTATTAACGAGACACAAGAATCGTGGATGGTTAACCGATTAACGAACAGTGTGACGTATACGTCTGATTTAGAAAATCATATTTCCAGGGGTTTTGTCCGTGGAAATACAGATTAGGTATTGGGATTATTTTTGAGTTAACTTATTCTTTTCCTCGGACGAGCTGTTAGGGCGTGAAAGGGTTAAATATAAATTTTAAAAATAGGATGGCTTAATATCGATATTTTCGACTTCAAAGTAACAAGATGTAATGTATATATCAGTCTCATAATTTTGAAATAATTATTTATGGGCCTGGGCAGTAAAGGGTTAGGGGGAATGTAGAATTAATGGGATTGTAAAGAGGTATAAACATTGCAATCACTCGACCATTACTGTCTTCCTCGTTTTCGCGGTCAGAATGACCGAAGTGAAATTTAGTTCCATTCATTTAACACCAGGATATCGTAGGGACAGCGAAATGACTGTAAAGAAGTCGATGAAACCGCGATTAGGAAATAGAAATATTGAATTTTCTTGTTGTCCGAGGTTTTGTTGAAATTACAGGAATATATTGTATTCGAGAGCGAACGTACACGATGAATAACGACTTGGCACAATGGAAGTCTCGAATTGCAACCGGCCACGGATTACTGATTTGAACTATTTATTAGCTGTGACGACAATCACTTCGTATTTTACAGCGTGACGTAAGGTTCGAGAATATATCATAGAGAATCGCTTGAACCCGTGACGCAGGAACATTCCGGTAAATCATTCGAATCCTCTGATCCATGGATCGGACGAGATGAATCGAGAGTTACGAAATTATTGTTGTTTATACGTATATAGAATTATAAGTTGCAATTGTAATTCGAAATTTGTTCCACATCGACAAAATTAGCAGTAGGAAAATATGACAAACTGGTCTAGAATCATCTGTAGATCATACAACCTACGAGCAGGGTTAGGTATAAGCAGAAGTTCGCAGGGAATTTTTAGCCAGTACGTCAGTAGCCACTAAAGTGAACGGTTCCAATATAATAATCTTGTGAAACAGACGTCTGATTCTCGGGTGTTATCCACTAACTCTCTTTATGTATCTTAGAAGACAAAGTGTTCTTTTGATTTCTATTACGTATGTATGTCTAATGTACTCTTACATCTTTCATATTGCGTCAGTCTTTAGAGGGTGATTCGAAATTTTCATTCTGACAAATATAGATCTAAAAATCACAGAAATTTTTCTACGTTAAATAAAATTACGTATCTTCAATATATACTACGAATATAACCCAAAGTTATCGAAGTTGCGTTGGAAAAGTAAAAAAAAAAATATTTTGATGAACGGGAATCGAACCCAGGTCCTCCGATTTACCACTTAAACAACCTGTACTTCGATAAGTTTGACTTCTATTCATAGTACATCCAGAAGGTACGTAGCTTTAATTCATTAATACGTCCTAAAGGTACGTAACTTTAATTTATACTATTAGTTAAGTCTGCCAGTTAGAGTCCTACCCCCTGTAAGTAGATCCAGCGTTTTTGAATCAGCCTATCGAAACGATTTCCATTTGAAACGGCGAAAACAGCCAGAAAAATAGGAAGTAAGGCGAAATAACAAGTGTTTCTCGTATGTTGCAGGCATGGAGCAGTTCGAGCAACTGCTAACGTGCGCTATATGCCTGGACCGATACAGGAACCCGAAGCTTTTGCCATGCCAGCACAGCTTTTGCATGGAACCCTGCATGGATGGCCTCGTTGACTACGTACGCCGACAGGTCAAGTGTCCAGAATGCAGGGCGGAACATCGTATACCCTACCAAGTGAGTACCACCAAAAGTAACTTGAAACAAACCAGAAAACAGTTAATTAACTGGTCGACAATCGAAAAAACCACGCAACCCACGAAATAAAAATAGAATCGACCACGTGAAGTTTCTCCTTTAATTCTCGGAATAACGAAATAAAATTTCCTTGAATAGAAATTAACTCTCCGGCTCAAAATCAAGCCTCCCCCGTTTGATACGAGAACCACTCGGAAAAGGGACCACGGACCGATGCAAATGCGCGCGGACAGACGCACACGCGCGCTTTTCAAATGAACCGGTTCGCCACCCCCTCCCCACCTGAACAAGGTTCTCCTTAACTGGGAGGGAGCAGAATGCGTCTGGCTCATCTTTATTCAACCGGGATCCCTCATGAAATTGGATGAAGTTTCGCGTTTCATACTGTGACATCTCTCCACGAGCCATTTGTCTTACTTTCACCATCCACCACCACCTCCGAACGGGGGCGTGTACATCAAACGCAGTTCGGTCGTCGTTAATTAAGAGGTTAGCTCACGCTGACTGCTTCAGAATCATAGGTAGCTTTGTGAATGTTTTCTGGGAATATATTAAACTGGAAATCAACTGGCAACTGATTTCGACTTTATTTTATTCACAGAAAAAATTCACAGAGGTGCGTACCTATGATTTTCCAGCGTCCAAGGTGGGCTAACCCTATAACACCAGAACTACCAACGATAAATATGTATCTATTTCTATCAGATCGACAAACATAATAAACTTTTGAAGATGTACCAATTTATAAATCGATTCATTTCTTCACTACACATATTGCAAGAAACGGTGTAAAAGGGCTCAGAGAATGCATTGTAACATTTTAATCAACATTATAAGAGTACACTAACCAGTCATTCTGCCTGCCTTGGTAGTTCTAGTGTTCCGAGCCATACTCATCCACCACAAAAAAAAACAGACCAAGCAAAACACATCGTATATCCCAATCGTTCATCCCTATGAATCGTATGAAAATTCAAATCGAAAGAAACATGTTTCGGGGTCAAAGTTATCGGGTCGTCTGACGAAATTTCCTTTCTCCTCTAGTTTTCATTTCTATGGGGAATCGTCCGGGTTATTCGATATCGACTGGTTCCTGGCTGGTGGTTTCCATTATCTAAAGGGTACACGATCTGTGTACATGTGCGTGTGTGTGTATGTGTTGCCGACAGGGCGTACAGGCGTTCCCGACCAACGTGACACTGCAACGATTCCTGGAATTGCACATCGAGATCACGGGGGAGCTGCCGGACCCGACCAGCGGCCAGACAATGGAACGGTGCGGCGTTTGTTCGGAGAAAAGCTACTGCTCCCTATGTGTCCACTGTGAGAAAAAGTGTTGCCCCGAATGCAAGGACGCTCACATGGACATCCTCAGGCGTGAAATTACGCGCATCAATTCCCAGGTACGAAATATTCCCGGGCGATCCCGTCTTTTTTTTTTTTCTTTTTTTGGCGAATACCACGCGAGCACGGACACCCGAGGATCAAGGAATTTACGCTTACGGAGAAACGGTGAATCGTTGTTTTCCCGGGAACAGAATTCTGTTTTTCGGATTGGGACCGATGGAAAATTATTTTGTCTTGGTTTCGAAAATCTCGGTACCGAGAAACAATTTTCTCTTCTTTCTGAAATATTTAGTGGAAAAATTGTTTGGTGAACTGAGGTATTGATATCGATGGAATTAGAAATTGATTCGAAGGACTTACAGCGGTATTCTAATATAGTCGGTCAAAAATATCATAATGATAAAAATATAATGATTTCTAGATTTGATTTTTTTCTTGAAATTATTTCCCAAAAATTCGCTTGAAAACGGCTGACTACACTAGAATGCTCAAATAATTAAAATGAAAGACGTTAGGGGCACGCCTGATTAATGTTCGAAACAGTGATATAAAGTTTTTCCTCCGAGAACGATTACAAGATAGAAATAATCGATCAAAGCTACAGACACGCAGTCGAACACCCTCGAGTCTTTTACCCTCGGCGCCTTTCAATCAGCTCCGATTTTCTCCGATTCATATCTCGCGACGATTAAAAAGTCCCGCGGATTTCAATCGAAGCGGAATAATTCCGGGGCTCCGAGTCGGCCAAGATTAAAAACAAACTCGGAAGTGGATTCACGGTCGAGCGTCTGCCAGCAGGACACTCGAGAGACTCGAGAAGAACGAAATTACTTTCTCCACGGAGGATCAGATTCATATAAATTCACCCCTGATTCCGGAAATACTAAGTCGGAGTTGATTCACGTCTATTTCCGGGGCAGGAATAAACTTTCGTGTGATCGTATTCGACACAGAACAGAGTCTACCATCATGTATCGACAGTTAGTAGATATTACGGGTCCAATATACCTGAATCTCGAGATTGTTTTGGTCGATCAAAGTTTTGGACTTCGATTAATTAACTCTGGACGTTCGAGAAAGTTTTGGAACCTGTCCACTTCCGGTTCTGACTGTTTTATAGACTTTCCGTTTCGTTCTAATGTCATCTTTGCCTCGTATAGACTGGGTATACTTCAAGATTTTTCTTTATATTTCCTCTCTTGATTGATTGGGATTTCCCAAACTTCTGAATAGTAGAGGATTTGACCTAATAGATTAACCTAACCCAGACCTAACCCAGACCTCTTCTAATGTAGTCTAAAGTACCAATATTCTAAGATGAAAACTTGAATTAAGTTTCTCCAAATAATAGTAAACGATGGACAATTCAGGAACTACATAAATAAGTTTACCTGGACAGGTGAGAGCACGTTCTCCGCATATTCGCCGGAAACATTTCCAGGAGGTTGGTAGAAACAAACGAAGTAGACCTTCCCGTCGGAGTCGGTGGCCATTCCTAGGCCCACCGATGTCGTAGCTGCCCATACCAACTGCGTGAAGTGGCGTACGTCTTCGGAATTCTCCACCGACTCCTCGCCGTACTTGAAGTACCGACCCTCTCGATACCTGGGAACAAATTAGATACGACCCCTCTGGTAGCCAAGGTTATTTGAAATTCAGATCCGATCGGTAAATACACAGAACCGCATAAAATCGCTATGGTAATAGGTTTTCAATGTTTTATCAGGGACCAACCAGAATTTCAGCGGATCCTCTGGCTTTATAGTTTCAGCCGTATCCCCCAAGAATATGTTCTCCCCGTATTCTGGATCTGATTTGTAGGCCAGGACACCCCTTTTTGCCAGATCGTCCGCCCATTCTTGAGCCAATTCGTTCAACTGGAAATTGATAACGATACATTCTTCTTACCATTGATCGTTTATTGTGACGATAAATTGAAGGGCTTAGTGGAAAAGGCGGAAATGCCACAATACTGTAATTTGACACAACTACTTCCAGGAAAAATAAGATTATAGCTTGTTGATGGAAAAAAAAAATAAAAATTGACGTAGACGTGGAAAGTGTCCCTTTTCCAACCCTCAATTGTTAAATGCAATTCCATCAATGATTTCTGGTGCTCTACTATAAATAAAGATTCTAACTAGTGCAACTGCTATTGTAATACAGAAGTCGGATATTCGACAATTTACGATCGCCTAAATAAATCACAGTATTCATAAAAAAAAAGGACGGATCTTTGCACCGCGCATTTAACCAGAAGATACTGCTGTTCCATTTATCACGCAGTTCCATAAAACAGCCGCGGGAACAATCGGAATATTTCTTCGAAAAAAAAAAAACAGTAAAAGGGAGGATCCGTACCTCGTCGACGATTTCCAACGGCGAGGAATTATGAAACTCTCGGTACTCATTATGCAGCTCCAGGAAACCGTCGACGAACTCCGGCGGGAAATGTCTGTAAACAGAACAAACGGGGCTTTCTTATTCCGTGTTCGCGAATCGATACAACAGACATTTCAATGAATTTCTGCGCCGCTCACTCCATGTTTAATTTATACGCTCGAAAGGTCGTGTAACATGTTGATTAATGTCTGTGGGAGAACGAAGGGTTGAAGTATCCTTGGGGGGGCAGGTGTTAATGCAGAAAATAATTCGCTGGTACGGCTACATGTTGAGGTGGTTTACAGATTTTAGGTTAGACCAGAAGTCGCGATGACATCGTGACGAACAATCGCGAAACAGATTTCGTTGTTCTTGAAAACGAATTGTGGATTTGTGCGCGGGACAATGACGAATTTAATACTTCCACGCCTAGACACTTAAATATACAGGGTGAATCAATAAGAACTGCTATCTAAAATAACTCGTTACCTCTATCAAACAACGCTTTAATGAATTATGTAGCATTTTAAGAGATGCATCGGATGACTGTTTTCATTATCTTACTTTTTTTATTTACTTTTAGAGGGAATACTTGAATTTCTCAACTGAAAACATGGAGATATACTTCATATCAGTGTAACTACAGATCCTTACTGATAAAGGTTAGATATTAACCGGCGACAGAATTTCACAGACTTTTAAAATGAACGTTGCACCGGTGCAACAATGGACGTTAAAGGGTTAATGAAATACCTGGGGTCCGCTGAATACACGGGGATTCAAATGTTCGCGCCGCAGTGACAAATGGGTAGTATTCGAATCGTACCTCGTAGCAAAACGATTCGATTTCGACCGGGACGAATACCGGGAATTCAGGTCAACATAACCGTGCTGCAACTCTACGTGCTATGCACGAGCCCGCCCGAAAATAACCGCCGGTATATTTGTTCGCCCCCTAATGCGTGCAAAACAAACGCCCCCTTAACCGTGTGAATTCTATTTCGATGCAAAACTCACGACGGAAATACAACGATTCGCTGTCAACAGAAAAAGAATGCGCGAGATGCAGATCTAAGTCATTTTGGCATTTTTTGTCCGCATACAAATCATTATTCAACGATATATTAATGACAAATGCAGGGTGTCCAACCTAGCGTGAACACCTTCTCACTTGTTTCTGAAGGTACAAAAACATGTGAGGGGACAATGTTATTTAATTCGAAGAAGTAAATGGTATAAACAAAATTTTTTCTCAAGGTCATATTTTTCGAAGTTTAATCAATAAAGAAAGTCGAAATAAGTCACCGATGTTGTGTGACCTTCATGTGACCTTGAGTATGAAAAATCCACAAATGTATGAGAGTAGATTTACATAATAAAATAACTACGATAGAGGGATGCGAAAATCTATCGAAGTTGATGGACATCACTGTGAGTATTTATTAAAATAAGTTTTCTAAAAGTGCTCACGTTAGGTGAGACACCCTGTATATTGGAATAACTAGGACCAGGGACACAAGTATGGGTTCAATCATTTAATCCACGGAATCGTGACTCCGCATAAGCATCAGTTAATCTAATATTAAATACTGTCTGGCCACATACGGACTTATACTACTTAAAACAAGCTCTGAGCTAAAATCTCCCGACGCAACTCGTTAACGCCCCCACTTAATAATTACACGAATTTCTCGCCCGATTCTGATCGATTCACCACCCTCGTAATCCTCCTTCCAGATTCGCAGAGGGCTGCACAGGTTGCAGGACGCGCTGGCTCTGGTCGAGAAAAACACGCTTGGTCTGCAAACAAACTGCGCCTCGGTCGCAGAGGAGGTGGACGAGATTTATCGGAGGCTGAGCAAGGCTTTGAAAGACCGTACGGAACATCTGCGTAACGAGGTCGATCGATACCTGAGCACCGAGCTCAGAGGCCTGATCCAGCTCAAAGAGAATCTCGAGCTCGAGATCGCGAATATCCAGAGCAATTGCGATCTAGCGGAGGCTCACATCAACGAGAACGTGCCGTGGGACGATTCGGAGCTTCTCGACACGAAGGAGCTGTTTCTGCGCACCGTGGAATTCATCAGGTACGTCGACCATAATTCCGCGTAACCACCCTGAAACCCCCCACGAGGGGTTGAATCGTCGCGTCAGATTATTCCATAAGTGATAGGTATTTAAAAATTATGGGAGTAAGATTTCGCCTCGCGAAGAACATTATCCTTTATTTTGCTAACACCACCCGAGTAAGATCGCGACTTTATGGGTTAAATATGATGAGAAATTCCCGATGGATTTTTGTTATCTTTTGGTACCTTCGCGCAGTGATTTTTACGGATATAGAATGCCATTCTTGGGGATTTGGGTAACAATTTATCGAGGTATGGAAACGACAGATTTTAAATTTCCTTCCGAAAAGCTCCTTTTTAATCACAAAATTAAATTTTATTATGCACAATAACATTAACATTGGGATTATTATATATAACTGTGATAAAAATAAAGATGTTGTCAAATGGCAACGAATAAAAAACAGCAAGTCGGTTTTAAAATGTGAATCATTTATGTGACATGCAATGTAATTTCTAAATAATTGGGAATGAAGGGGTTAAATATTAAGACTTAACACGAGACGAGTCAGACTCGATGTTACAAAACAATAGGGTTAAAAAATCAGAAAATTCTCATTGCTACAGCGTTTACCCTATACAATTGTAAAATATACGGCCACACGACCGCGTGCATACCAGTTTAACGCCATAAATCTCGCAATTTCGCGATCCCACCCCAGTGGGAAGTTACACAAGCACGGGGCGTATTCTCAAAGGAGAGCTCGCGGGACCGCAGTCGGAAAATAATGAAAGTTTCCCTCTAATTTTATAACAATCGTAGTACGTGGGAACGCTGCGCACTTTTCCAAATTGCTTCTCCGATATTCCGTGAAACTTTCCAGCCCTCCCCCCACCCCCCAACGGGTTGAACGCGCGACGAGAGTCAACTTTTGCACTCAATCCTCTGCAGGCGCATAATACGAACGGAGCCTTTCATCTCCGACCTTGTCGAAATTCCGCTTGCTCCTCCTCCACTTTTACCACGCGACACGCCGGCATACTAACCGCCCACCCTCCCCCACTTCGTTTTTAAACGTTCCCCTGTTTCTAGCGGTATTATCACTCTCATAGGGGATAGATTAGCGGTGATACCCCCGCGACTGGAAGAAGAGCAAACGAGGAAAGTTTCGGAAATATTTAGTGGCTCCGTGTAAGATCACGTTGCAATTGAAACTTGAACGATTCCTCTTTAATCCTCTTAGTACCCACAAGCAGAGGTACAATAAATTCTCAATGAGTGTTCGAAGGCCTGTTGGCACTGAACATTAAATATTTCATAAATTAATGGCCATTGGTGGCTGAAATAAATATTGCTGACTTCAGAATTCCAAGGTCTACTGCTGTGCTATACCTCATTAAAAAATCAGCGTTACACCTGGGGACCTCTCCTTGTCAATACCAAGAAGCCTTAGAACACACATCGAGGATTTAGTGTAATTAGTAGATAGGGGAAGGTTGCCGAATTTGTACCTTAAGTTGAACCACTACTGTAACTTGTCAAGTGTAAGCAATCAACGTCAACAGGTATTCAATATATGAATGACAGTGTTGATTGCATTAACTAACTTATTACCTACAAGCAACCTATATTGTCTATCACAAGAGCCAAATTGCTCACACATGATCATGACAAGTGTCCAACCTACGCAATGATCGAAATTCAGCAACAATCCCCTCTACACCATAGCTAAAAGTCCTCTTCCTCGACTTCTGAGATTACAAAAATTTATTATTCACCGTTTCCGTCGGTTTCCACCAAAATAACCAAAAATAGAAGTCACCATCCCACCCCTGAGAATTTCCACCAAAGTCACCGTTCGAGAAGGGATTAACTATTAGTCGAGAGACGTACTTTACCGTTTTCGATGCGACGTTAAAGACTCCAAGACGAAACGCCCGAGGCGTGCAGTCGCATCGAAATTGCACCCCGTGAACGCGAGATCAATGGGAGAAGGGGAGGGTTGGAAAATTGGTGGTGCACAGGGGATCGTTAATTTTCGATCGGGTTTCCAGGAACTTCGAGTACGAAGCAGGGGATTACAGTCGGCGGGTGCGTTTCGTGATGGCCCACGACCCGAACCAGCTGGTCCTCCACGTAGCGGGTTACGGCGAGCTGAATATTAAGCCGGAAACCGGAACCGGAGGATTGCTCGGCAGCTCGAGCAGCCTGGCGCCACCCGGAGGATCGCCCGGACTCATGAGAAGCAAGAGCGACCATCGTCTGGCCTCCCAGTACAGGCAGCAAGAGGAGGAACGGCTCGCGAGGAATCGATACGTGCCCGAATACGAGTAATTATCATTTTACCACGCTTTTATACGTTATCCACAGCCCCCTTTTCTTCCCTCACATCCCTTCGTGAAGCCAGGAAACATTCTAGGATGGTTTCCCAAGGCTTACAGTATACCCACCTGATGCCTCTTTGGAAAACTTGGAAGCTTGCCTCGAAACAGAAGCCATTCACCGTGGAAAGTGGCAAGGTTCTACCGGAGAACCGTCCAGTGAAACTTTTCCTCGCGAATTATGCGAATATTCTTGGGCGATTAAGGGCGAATATACTGGCTAGCAAGCTTGAATCGAGTCCACTGTTTATGGAGGTTTGGAGAAAATCGAGAACTCCGGGGGAAATCGTTTACTGGACGAGTTACGCGCGAAACGGTTTACGTGGTGTTTCAGAATGCAATGGGAATTGCTGGTATTGGAAAGATAGATATATGGGAGCAAAGACACTATAGGGGGAATCGTGGGGGCAGAATTGGTGGCAGATTCAGACAGGTCATTCTACGTGTAAAAATACGTGGAAAATGTAGAATAAAATTCTTTTTCGTGGGATGCTTCGTTTAATATCTATATCTTTTTATAACGTGTAGATTTGAATTTGAAAAATTGGAAAAAAGGACTCAATTAAATTAAAAAGAAGTCGAAATTAAAATGACAATAATATTAATGATATTTGGCACGAGAAAATGAGATTTCTTAGTATCTATATGTCACCTTGAAAAATTAGGAAATAGTAACTAATTAGATTAAAAAGAACAAATACATATTTCACCAGTGAACGAATAACATTACGTAAATGAACGTTTCAAAGCAGTGGCCTGCAATTCGTTTGAATAAAAAACAAGGAATTGGAAAACATCAATATTTAATTATTTCCTTACTTTAATCACTTAATTTGCTCGTTTTTACATACAAGCTTCATTTGCATGGTCCATCCGCCCCAATCGTATTCGAAAATTCATCATCTATCCGTGCAAGCGCTAAGTAGAAACAGACGTGCACTGAACAGACGCGTCAGCCAAGTCCTATTAAAATTCAGACTTTGTAATTCAATTACTACAAAACGAAGCTTTACAGATCAATATTTATTCTCCATTTTCGACCTAGTTTTACACGCAGAGTGGCCTCCTCTCCATCTGCACCACCAACTCTACCTCACTCGGTACATAAACGGATATTTGTCGAAATGGAAGACAAGGAGGAAGGAATTCGGGCTGTCTAGCTGACCGGTAAAAATTTGTCTGACCGTGGGACGCGGATTACTTTGGACTTTCGCCAAACGGGATCCGTGGTGGGCATACATTTTTCAGGATGTCCCACATATCTATTCTAGCGAATGTTATAAATATACACGACGGCTCCCTCTGCCCCCCCCCCATTTCCCCTCCTCGTATCTTTTTCCTGACGTGGGCCGTATGTACAACTTCCTCGAGGCCGAAATAGGCGCGGTCGAGTTTAATTACCGGCCCGGTTCCCTGTGTAATCCGCACGGCAACGGGCCAGTTTTATTAAGCCACCTCGTCAAAATGTAAATGAAAAGCTTTTGATATAATGCCCCCGACCGCGTAATAAACAGTAATTAACGACCAGCCCTTATACAAGCTGCCAGAAGCTTGTTCCGTGTCCTCACTCCCTCTCGATACCGCAACAAGGAACCATGCGATGATCCTTTGGCTAATTGGTTGCTCCCTTGATAATTACGGTTAATCACTCACTGGAGAGGCTGGAGCAAAACTGCATTCACTCTACTGTTTCTTTGAGACTTTTTTCCCCCGAGGGCCCATTTTCAGCGATATTATCTATCTTGAATCTACAGGGTGAAAAGAAGGGTTCATAATTTGTGGGGTATATAGTACTTGCCAAATGGTGATTAAAAGTACTAATAAACATGAGTAGGAAAATTCATATTTTCAATTGGGAACTATTTTACCATATGGGTTTGTAAAGAAAAACTAATAGGAATTGCAGAAAACGTTCTGTAAACAGATAAATAGGAAATGATAAGGTAATCCATTATAAATGCAAAAATATTAATTTGTTTGATCCATGTTTAATAGGACTTCTTTTCATTTGGCGAGTACTGTCTATCCCAGAAGTTATGAACCATTCTTTTCTTTCACCCTGTATATAAAATGACCGATGGTTTGCCCTGGACAGGAGACACTGTAAATATCGTGGAAATTGGAAGAACGTTGAGTTCGAAATTTAGAGATGAATCTCGTAAATTCAGACAATCCGAAAGTTTGAGCAGCGACTGTACTCGTTTGCGTCTGACAACAGATTGACGGTAATTGAAAATTCTTTTATCGACGGTCCGTGTTCCCTTCCGCGGGGATGGTTTCCATTAAATGTTTCGACAAAACGAGTTCCACTCCGACACAACAACCGGAATGAAAATTGTAAAGGTTGTCGAATGGACTGGAAGAACCGTGGAGGATATTCTCAGGTGATTGCCTTAACCCTTTTCTATATTCGTTCTTTCCTCGATTGCTTTTCTCAGTTTCTACAGCCCCGCGGAACAGCAGCTATTTAATTAATTTATATTCCGCTTATAAATACCGGGGTAATTACGAGTCGAACAATATTTCATAGACTAGAGTATTATTTTCTGAATAGAAGAGAAGCCATAGCTATCAAAATATAAAACATTCAACCGAATTATTTTGTAAACGCAATTTTTAAATTAAATTATAACTAAAAAAAATAAAAAGGAAGAAATAGATATTTATATACATTTTACCCATCTTCATCCCTTATGGGTTGAATTTCGAAAAATCCTTCCTCAATGGATACCTACGTCATAAAAACAATATATCTTCCGAATTTCACGTTCTTAGGTTAAACAGTAAGAGCTGATGAGTCAGTCAATCAAGACTTCTTCTTTTATATAATATATCTATAAATTATATCTCTGTAATTAATTGTGTACGATCTACCCCTGACACAGAAGTCAACCAGAAATAGTGTCACGCAAGAACGCCCCTGAATTTTTTAGCTGATCATTTCGAGAAAAATCGATTTACAAGACCAGCCCGAAACCACTTCCAGGGGCTTAATTTTCCGTTCGAGAGATTCTAAATAATTCCGGATCCCATAAGCAGAAAACGGAGTCCCACGTTTCTGAGACCCCCGTACAAATTCGTGCCGGATCAATTACCGTCAACGTGTATACACCGACTCCCTTCCTCTTGATCTTCTCTCATTATACGAACCCATTCCCCGGTGTCTGTAAAGCGATAATTAAGCAACACTCGGCTAAGCCACCCCCCCCCCCTCCCGACGGATGTATTGCTGTGCACCGCCTCGAAAAGCCAGATAACCCAGTTCCAGAAAATCGTGACGGGACGAAACGCGCGCTCGTCGTTTTCACTCGGGGATTCCCTTCCCCCAGGCGAAACGGATTAATCGTTAAAGGCGAAAATCGTTATCCCCCTTCGGTAGATAATGATGATTCGCGGCGACATTAAAGGGAGAATTATCGTGCCAGGCAAGAGCTGGACAGTTAACGTTCCATCGGCACCGGTTACACACGCTTCTATCCACTTTTATCGGCTTCAGTTTCTTTTATTTTCTGTTCCTCGATGATGGAAATTCGGTACGGGGCTCGCCGTGGAATATGCGATTACGAAATCGCAGTAACTCGTACAACGTACGCTGTCACTCGAGATTACCCGATGCGCAGCGATCCACGTCGCTTTGTAGTCAGGTTACCTCGGTTCGACTCGAGTGGACTTGAACGGGATTGTTAGTGACAACGGCGAATGGTATTACAGGATCTCTCCATCTTCATCCTCTCTCCCCCCCATCTTCCACCCCTCCCCAATGGCTTGTTGGAGATTCCGAAGACGATGAGACAGTTCGACTGATGTCTTCCACACGACCGTGTATTTCGATCCGGTAATCATCCTGATTAGTCTAGTTCGGGGGAAAATTTGGCTCTCTCACCTGGTTCCCTGTGATAACACTTGCCAAGCTATGTGAACTTGCATTCCAATAATTATCTATCACTACTAACCAAAACGAATTATTTTACTGCTTCGATGGTAACCCATCGATAAATACCTAGATTAATTCAAAGATCGTCGGGTCTACGATAGATAAAACACTCCCCAAGCTCTGGTACCTGACGCCCTCTATTCCAATGCAGAGTTAGGCAAAATGTAACCTCATTACAAAATCCAAATCATAATTACAATTACATAATGATCATTTTTTCTTAATGAAAAAGAACTAAATTACTCGAATCACATGCTTCCATACGAAAGCTACCAAAATTCACTCATCTCTTCGATTCTATCGAATCGTTGCTGTAGTATACGCCTCCATTGAACCATCAATCATCTCGAACGCATCTAAGCACCAGAAAAAATTCATCTGAAGGAAAGTTATCGTTCCCACAGCTACGACGCGCCGGAGTACGAGGTCCCCAGAAATAAATCGAGGTACAGGAGCCGATTCATGCGTCATCGGGACGGTGACGACTCCGACGGTGACACGAGATCGACCGTCAGATTCACGTCGACGCCTCAGGATCAATCCGGTTTACGTGAACGCGTCCTGGACACGGAGGATGCGGCACGAGGGCCGCTATCAGGGATTTTTCGGCTCACGGACTCGCCACGTGTCATGAAGAAGCTTCAGGACTACGAGAGGGCCGGAAAGAGGAAAAAAGAAGAGCCACCGCCCCATCCCGTCCAACAGACCCCGACACCGAAGCCTCAGGTTAATTAAATTCGCTTTATATCATTTAGAATCCTCCTGTAACTATATTCTATTCGAATCTTATGATTTTATACCGTCTTCGTGGACCGTCCCGTCACGGACCCAGTTGCTGATCAGAACCTAATTCGTGAATAGTTTGGTAGGATAGATACCATATAACAAGTTTATTATAATGAAAGTTTCTTCCAAAAAATTACTGAATAATTATTAACGATTTTGTCATTTTTACCGTAAAATTTGTGATCAGAACTTACTCCCCTTATACTACTTATTTTAAAAGTTCTTAAGTGATCAGAAACTGAATTCGTAATGGTACGTCGTATTTTCTGATAGTTTCGAAGATCGTACTCAATCCCCGTCGAATGATTCAAAGGTCACGGAATTTAATTGGAAATAAAACATTTCCGTGTGGCCGAAATATTCAGTTTGATCAATTTTAACCGTGGTTATTGATTTCCTGGGCCGTCCCCCAGCTTCAAAAACATTTTCTCTCCATTTTCACGAGTCCCCTCTGTCCAGGGTAAAACAAAAGATACCGCGATCGTGGACCTAATGATGTATTTATAACATCACGATTGAAATCGACGGTCTGGAAACATTACCGTAGTTCGAGCGCAATTTCTCAAATTCCCCGGTTATTGTCCCGGTGGATCGGTCCACCCTCTCCAATTTTCTCGATCACGAAGGATTCTTATTGCAACTTTCGATAAATGGGTTCCATTGTTACAAATCGATAATTCGTGGAACGTTCCCGTGGTTTTCATTAGAACACTAAAAACATCACGTAATAACCCACGGATCAAATTTGGTTGGCCATGCCATTTTGACACTGGTCGTATTTGTTTTTGACAGTGATCCGACCACAGAATTTTCCCACGGATTCCGTTATTATGGCAGTCGAAAATACGTGGGATGTGGATCGTGTGCGGCAGCTCGACGGGGAGAGAAAGAGAGAGAGCACGACGAGAAAGTATAGCTTCGGAAAATCTCGCGGTTATATCGCGGTTGGACGCGATTCAACGGGCAAAAGTAAATTTTTGATCGTGGGGAAAACCGGTGCACACGTAGACACGCGTGCACAACGTTTGGTTGCGGCCGCAAGTAATATATCGGCCTCCCCTTCTATGGACACGTAAAGGACATAAATCTCCCCTGCTGGAACTTTTAAAAATAATTCGATATTTCACGAAAACAGTGCGCGAGAGAGAAAATGTGTGTGTGCGTGTGGTGCAATGTGATACGTGTGCTTGATCTCGGCTCATAAATATGTAAATAATCGATGATACGTGTGGATGAGCTTAGTCTGTAGGCGAGATCTATTTTGTACCAAAAATTGCGATCCTATTATAATACACACTATGAAATGAATACACGAATACAAGTCTTTCTTCTCCTATCAGTACGTCGTATTTCCTTCTCGTGCTCGATCTACGATAATTACAGCCAGATCAAACGATAAAATTGAAAGCAGCATTCACACGTACAAACAAAAGTTCGAACAACAATTTTGAAGCAGTATTCACACGTCGAAATAAAATTGGAAGCAGTATTCACACGTCGAAATAAAATTGGAGGCAGTATTCTTATTCTATTCAGTATTATCGATTCAATCGGTCAAAAAACCGTATCGTCCGAACTGGCTGTTACACCCCTTCATCCCACGAACCTGTTCATTTTCAATCGCGTGTTTAAATAAATCTTTGCGCAATCAGAGGAGCGTATTAATGCGTCGCGAGGTCCGCGTGTTACCGCATAAATACGCTCATCGAAGGGAAAATGGAAACGCTGGTCTCGGTTGAATTTAACAAGACCGTAATTCGACGTTAGATATGATTTTAAAAAAATTAATTTTCTTTATGAAAGAAACAATGGGGGATCAATCGGGAATTTTTTAAGGTGTCTCCTCTACTCGACCTACTTCCTTCCATCAAAGGTGTTACATAATTCTGTTTATATCGCGTAGGTACAGGTCAGGAAAGTGCCGACTGCGATGGCGAGACAGACCAGCGAGGACGACGAGATTTCTAGGATCAAAAAACAGAATAAAACCGCGGCAACACCTGCGACCGAAACGGTGGAGGAACGACAACCAGCGCCGACACCTGTACCAACCCATCCGGCCCCGAGGGAAGCACCCACCGAACGGGACACGGAAGAACCTACGCGGAGACCAATGCCCACGAGGTATCGCCACACTTTTTCTTCCCCTACTAAAATTTATTTATTGGTGGGATAAATATCCTTTAGTACAAAGTTACCCTAACAAGTGAAGGACGTACGTAAAAATGAAAATAAACGATACAGTAGTATTAATTACTGACAATGCGAAGAAACGAATTATAAAAATCGTTTGACTAACCTCAAAGGAGGATTGAAACGTTTCACATAAAACAGGCTGTCAAGACGAGTGCTTTGGGATGGTACAAAAAAATCGTAGTTGTGGTAAATCCTAGAAAGAGGGTTCCCAGCAAGATATGCTAGTAAATTTAGTTATAATAGATGGCTAGTAATATTATATCATTGCAAAGAGTGATACCTCCGATAACAAACATATGAGATAAAATAATTCATTTTAATAAAAATAATGATTGTATTTCATCATTATACTGGGTATTTCTACGGTGAGTATAATTTCTTCGTATGAGCGAAATTCGTGCCATTTACCTAATTAGCAGGCTGAACTTCTGCAGAGCTATGCAATATTTCTGGTACCCTCATGTTCCTTCCGTGCGTGTTATTATACTCTATTTTCCTCATTATTAACTACGAATTTTATAAACTTGTAATATTTGCAATCCCGGAAAATATAATGAAAAGAGGAATAGAATTCGTGCCGATGTAGCTGGAACAATATTATCCAACGTCTCTTGTACTCGGTGCACGAATTCTCGTGAATCTGATTGCACAAAGGTTTATAAATGTACGTACGTCATAAAATTAGCAGAACGAGCATCCCGTGGTAAATTAGGCCCTCGTAACTTGGCCCACATGAAACGAGCAGTCTGATCGCATTCGCGTACCAGCGTTAACATCGGATTCGCGCGTTTCCTACGTGGGATCCAAGTAGTAGTGGTTCGTGCCTAGTCAGACAGCCTGATTTATGCCTCTTCGGTAGATACGAATCGTTCCAATCGAACGGCCAAATTCCGTGGGCGTGTTCAATTCGAACTTGTGATGCGGCATCATGTTTTAATTGTAGAATCGATATTTCCTACACGTGGAAAAACCGTTCCTCTTTTTTCCAGAAATGTTTGCACTTTTCGCGAAACGTTTCGCCGCTGTTGGTTTACGCCTCAGCGAAATATTTAACCACGTGTCTTCTTAAATTCCAAAGGTATATACAATATAAAATGGTTGCTCTTCCACCGGCCACGAGGAATGCTCTCGACGCGGTCGGTTTCCTGTCCATGCAAATTTTTCCGTAACACTTGCAGAAATTTAAACAGGTCAGCTTTTTGTACCGCCCCGGCCACCCACCCTCGCACACGCTCCACGTTCCTGTTTTCGAATCTCGCCAAATTTTTCCGCGGAGAATTTTTATAGGTTCGTAACGCTGCACGCGGAGCATTTTAACGAGATGCAATTCTAATAGCCAAAACAGGGGAAAAAACGGAAGAACCACGAAAGTCCTTAAAATTCCTGAATTTCTCTTGCTCATGTGGTTCCAATTTAAAATTCGAGGACCTCTAAGGGTATAAATTAATAATTTTTCCCATTTTTAGTATGATATAAAACGTACCAATGGGATTTCAGGTAAAATATCTGTAAAGAACCGCGATTTGAAATGTTCCAGAGTCGAAACATAAATTTGCTTCGAACGAAACGACGATTCGGGATGATTCGACGCAACAGGAATCGACTTATATCTATGTATATCGTCGGCGAAAATTACGGCGTACGAATGCTCGAACGGTTCCGTGGACTCGAGGAAGTCGTTAATTGAAATATCGTTGCTCGCAGGAGAACTTCGACGGATACCCACACCCCGGCGACGAGAAGCGCTTCATCAGACTCGAGCACGGGCTCCGAGAGCTCCGGTGGATCAGGAATCCGCAACACGGGCGCGCCATTCACCGCCGAGGAAATGAAGCAGAAATACTTGTCGAGGGCGCCGACGTCGAACACGACAACTGCGGTCCCGTCGGGACAGGGAGCGCAAACGCCAACCAAGGATTCCGGGACGGCCTCGCCCGCGACCCGTTCCTTCCAGAGCCGTTTTTTAGGCACAGGTGACATTTCTTTCTGACGATCAGACTGCTTTCTGACGAACTAACTGCTTCGTGATTGACATGGAAATATCGACACTTATTCATAGAATTTTCTAAAGTAACATGGTTGGCAATGTTTCGTTCTAACAAGGGAATATACAGAAGTGACGGTCATTGATTTTTTTGCAACCTTGTGGGAAAGTAGTTTCCATAAAAATATTCGACAGGTGCTATCACCTATGTTGAAAATTGTGAATGCAGTCTTCAATGTTAGGGGTGTGAAATGTATATAGTCGAATATCTCGAAAACGATTTAAATAACACAATACTGTTATTTAAAGAGACTAGGCAGTTAGATTGGTAAAAATGTAACTTTTCTTTGGGAATTAATTACAAAGAAATAAATACAAATTGTGACTAGTACTTTTGGGTTAGATAGTGCTCTTGTATAATATGTATATATTAAAAAAAAAATGTTTGTACAGTTTATAGTATTAATAAACGTTGCCCAAACGTACTACACACAGTTTGTATTCATTTTCTTCCTCTAAAGAAAAGTTACATCTTCACAATATCTGACTGACTAATACCCTTAAACAGTTTTCCTATATCTAATTGTTTCCGAGATACACGACCAGATCATACCCCTAACTTTGAGGGCTGTTTTGCACCTTCGTACTTTCCATTATAGATGCGATTCTCGCAGTGGTCTTTACGTCGAGGTTAATTTTTACCAAAACTACTCAACAGAACCACTCAATCGACATTGTTACGAATTCCCAAAGTTTTACAACAACCCAGACTAACCACGAATAAGTTCGAGAACCTGGTACTCGAATAATTATCCGAGGCTACATTACGCTTGACACAGCTCTTGATAAATCCACCGCGAGGCGAACCTTGGATTACCCTAATTATACCGTTTGGAGAGCGTTCCATCGACAGAGGACTCGCTCGCGAACAGGAAATTTCTCGTGGTTCTCGAAAAGTGTGGAGATTTATTTGGCCGCGGTTACGAGTCCTTTTCTCGTGTTTCTCCAGGTAACCGTACAGCACCACCACCACCCACGCCGACTCCGCGAGAGGATACCGTCATAAAGAAGAAAGAGGAAGAGGAGGACGAGGACGAGGAGACGAGCAGCTCCTCGGAGGACACGGAGTCGGAGACCGAGGAGGAATCGGAAAACGATGCTCATCCGTCGGTTACGACGTCCTCGACAACCCCGTCGACCGTTCAGGATCGTCAGAGAAGCGAATCTGCAATGGCGCGGACGGACATCGGTCCGTTACTCGCTCGAAGCGCAGAGGCCAGACGCGGAAGCAAGGAGGATTCACCTTCGACCAGGCAAGTATACTTTCTTTCGATTCGGGGATTTATCGCTGTGCCATTTAAAACACGTGGTTGCCAGCCACTGTCAGAATGTTCTTCAATAGGGCTGCGCTGTGGCGACATTACGACACACGGTGGGCCGGATCGAGAAATTCAGTGACATTTTTGTAGAATTTTTGAAGCGTTGTAGATATTGATGTGAAACTTGGACTGAATAATGGAGGGATGTTAGATTGAATAAAAGAAGTATAGCAATATATTTATGTATATATAAGAATATATTTTACTAAGGAAACAAGTAACGAATAGTTTTTGGTGTACTATATAAAATTTATTTTTTTTTACCGTAATTTGAACAGTGAGTTGAGGGGGGAAATAATTCTTAGATGATTATGTAGAGGCAGGTGTGATGAAAACATTCCAATTGGTTACAATGTGGGACTCCTTGGGACTTGAAGAATATTCCTTATCAAAGATAAAGAATTTTGAGAATTTCATTTATATCATTGAGCACTATTTTTTTTAAACTTTCTGAAGATTACTTTTTTATTTTCTTCATTTTCAAGATTGACAGACATTAAGGAAAAAATGCAAGCTCGAGAGATAAAAGGAAGTTGATTCTTTGGCAAGATGTCACTAAAATCTTCGATCTGGCCCACTCTGCGACAGTTCGATCGGGCCGAGTCCCCTTTGAATAGTATTCCAATACAAGCTAGCAACCAGTTACATTAAGAGCACAATATAATACATATTTAGGAAAAAGATCCAGGTTTCGAGAATCTCTCAAAAGAACTAGTGAGAGATTCTCGATGCTCAGGATGTGTAATACCGACTGCGTGCGTTGCGTTGGAGCGAGAGTCGATATCTCCGATAAGCGAATTTCCGAGAGGATCCAGACGAATTTCACGGGACTGATAACCGTTCTCGCGTGTATCCCCGTGAAGATTCTCCCCTCTTAGTAAATAACTACCGTGATGCAACAACCCCGAGGAAACTGAAAATCAATACCGTCGACGAACCGAACGAAGGCAAGGCATCCTGGCGAACATCGGTAGACCCTGAATTTCCTGTGTATAGTTTTAAACATTTGTTGCAATCGACGCGAGAATCGTTCGAAATTTCCGGGATGATCGAACCGAATCGTGAACGGTTATGTCGCGGGTGGGTAACGATCGAACGAATAGACGTAACGTTCCACCTGGTCAGGTGGTCCCGTTCGACAGGTGAATGATACAAGGTGAATTGGAAACTAGAATATCGAGCGATCAACTCGTGTCTCAGGTACACGTCGCCGAGAGGGAGTCCCGCGCATACGGTGACGAGCCCGACAACAACGACGACGATGACTACGACAACAACGTCGACAACGACTGCAACGAGCGGCGCCGCGACAACGCCGGTCGGCGGTTACACAAGCAGGTTCGTAGCACACGTAGCACACGGTCCGACTCATCATCAGGCCAAGTCTAATTCCAATAACCCCCACGACCGTAATCGTTTTAGGACGTTTAGTGACGGACACGATGAACGTGCAACCGTTCGTGTCGAGGATTACGATATCGCGGCGGCTATGAGCGCGGATTACGATAGTCACGTGGCGAACGGATCGATGGTTGTACCGGAGTCGAAAAAACGTAACCGCACGGACGACAGTACGGACACCGACGAAACGTTCCACCACCATTCATCCTCCTCCTCCTTAGCGACTAGACCGAAACCGGTAGAAGCAGATAGCGGTCACGATAGTCGAGTATCGGGCCGCAACGAGCTGGTCCACGAGGACGCGTTAGTGGACGGTCGTTCGGGGAACGACGTGAACTCTACGTTATACGCTCGGACCGATCGACGCGAAACAGTTAACGAGACTCCAGTCGGGGATAGAGGACAGGTCCAGCGAGACCAAGAATCGAGTACAGAGAAACGTTCGCAAGAGACGACTATGATCGAGGATCGGGAATCTCGAGAATCAAGCAGCTATTCGATGAGCACGAACTCGGAATGTGGTACTGAGAGCGAGACAGAGAGAATCTAGAGAAAGAAGAGACGACAGATGGGAAAATCGTGAGGAAGGACGATTTGGCGAACGATGGATCCACCGATTCCGAAACCGACGAAGAGGACACAGTTTTGACCGTTCGACCTGGTTCTGAGGAGAATTATCGTACGGACCGATACGATGAGAATCTAAAACGACGGAGTTCCTCGATAGTCGGGGAGAAGAGTATCGAGGAATTGTTCGACGACAACGGATGGGTGATCACCGATCAGGATCTACAGACGGAAGGACCTCAGAGCATCAACGCGAGAAACTTCAAGTCGATCGATCCGGATGCTACGACGAGAAAGGGGACCATTGTGGAATCGTCGACGTTGAACCAGCATAAACAAGACAGTTCGGGGAAGTTTGGCGTGGGCAACAAACCGGACGAGGTGAAGAAAAACGAAGAGAAGGAACAAGCCGAGGACGACGACAGGTCGGAGAGCGGTAGAACATTAAGCCTGTCAGGGTCGTCCGAGAATTTACCGAGGAGTCGAGTGTACAGGCAGAATAGTATCGGGAAAAATGGTTGGCTGGTCTCGGACGAGTCCGACAGCGAAACGGACCGAGCTGTCTCGCCCATGGATGCTCGGGAAACCAACGAGACTGAAGGAACCCCGAGGAGACTCGACGATGAGAGAATGAACGGTACAGGTTCGTTGCCACCACCGCCCACGTTGTCAACCCAGGTGAACAAAGATGGACGAACCGACACGACGGTGACCGATAACGCATGGAGCATCGACGAAAACGGGTGGGTGATACTAAACAAGATCAACGACCCAGCACATGGGAAAGACGTCGAGGGCCATAGCACGGACGAGACGAGCACGATTCGTTCCCAAACGACCGACCTCGTAATGAGAACTAACATTGAGAACGGTGCACTAGTCGCGAACGCTACCCAATCCAAAGAAACCGACAGTTCTTCCAACGAGCACGAGGACACGCCTGGTGTCGATATCACTATACCGATGCAAATGGTAACCACCGTTTTCTGTGTGTCCGTACTGTGTTACAGCGTTCTAATCAATCTGTTCCTGTAACCTGTGTCTCGATACAGCGAATCATCGATTAGTGTTCGAAGGCCCCTCGGTACTGAATGTTCAGATGGCGATACATTTGAATTGTATCGATACGCTTGTATATCGGGGATAACATATCGATAGCATCGGTATCGATACTTGCAATTCAATTAAAAGCAATAAAATCCAAAAATGAAAATATACCATTTGGTTAAGCAGATATTTACTAAGGCAGATTCTCAGAGTGAAAAAGAATTGTATCACCGTTGTGTATCAATGTGATACGATACGATGTTACGCAACGATGATACGATACGAACATACGCATCTTTACGTTACAGCAAATCCCAGCGATTGTATTAAAATTTCGATATTTATCCTCACAGTAAGTATCGATATTCTAATTACTGTATCGCCTATCACTAGTTCAGACATCATCCCCACCACTGCCCGTTTGAATGGTTCCACGTTGGTGGGGATGACGTCTGAACATTTCTTGCCGAGGAGCTTTCGAACACTCATCGGTGATTCACTGTACATACACGTGGCCCTCTCTCTCTCAAGTTCCCATCTTCTCGCCGTACTCGTATCGTTCGCGCCACGGTTCGTTTTATTAGTTTCTCTTATACCCCTGTCTTCTTTCTCCCATTTCTGTTACCCTCCTTTACGTCGCTCGTCGGTGTTGGTCGTGAAAGACTGCAGACTACCCTCACGGAAACAGACGAGACTGCCTTCGATAGCAAGATCCGATGCAGCAGTTTCCTTTTCTTCCCACTTCCACCTTCTCTCTCTCCGTTCGTTATTTTTATCTCCACCATTCCTTCTCTGTTCGTTACATTCTCGTTTTCTTCGTCGTGCTACCTCCCCTCCCCTCCTCTACCAGAGTTTATCGTGCTGAGAAAGAATGCCGCTGGCTCGCGGCACGTTTGTTTTAAAGCGAGGGAAAAACACGTCGTCCTCGGGGCGAACAGCAGCCGATAGGACTTCAAGGGTGGGAGGGGGGGCCAATGGAATTTCTCGGTCCCCACGAACGAGAAAGTTCGCCCCCACATTTTCGTTATTTACTTTCGAAACTGCTGCCCCGGAATCTTGCCACCTTCCCTTCCCCCTCTAAACTATCCACCCCTTCATCGTGGCCATCGAATCGATAAAATCGTCATCGGAATCAGGCGACGATACTGAAAACGTAGCCGTAGAGAGATAATTGCTAATCTCGAGAGCGTCATTTGTATGGAACTTGCATTTTTCTTTTTATTTTACACACACACACAGACACACAATTGTGATACTCGTACGTACGATCGTAACTATTTGTTGTTCCTATCGTTGATTCACGTGCCCACCTTTACCCCCGCCATTGCTCAATATACATATACATACATACGTACATGTAGCTTCGTAGGACACGAGAGAGATATTCGCGTGCGTCGCGCTAACACTAAAAAACGAGCGTAGTGAGAAACAACCGTCCTCCCAGAGCACAGCTTGAATCCACGCTGAAGCGATGCTTCTTCAGTTCGTTCCCCATTGATCGGACGACGACAGAGACGACGTGTCACGCCGTTAAGCCCCGTATTCGATGTGAAACGCGCGATTTGGAACACCCTTGATAAGATTATTGTCGTTCGAAACATTGGTCTGTTTGTGTCGCGTATTTTTCATAGATTTCAATGGATTTTTTGATAGAAGTTCGATAGACTTTTGCATTAAAGTTCAGTAATTTTATATTTTCAGCAAAGTATATCTCGATACAGACAAGTGTGTTCCGTACCTCGTGTTTCTCGAGTGAAGACGCGGCTTAACCCGTGTCAAGCCGTCACCACCGTCCCCCACCATGTTTCATATCATTAAGTTTTTGTACTCTTTTTTTTTTCCTAGTGCATAGGCTTGCGTCAGTTTGTTGGTGTGGTAAATAAACTGCATTTCTTTGTGATAACTCGTATTATTTATTTCCCTGTCAAACTTGTCCTCAGTATATTACACAAAGCATAACGGGAAACAGGAACGGGGATGAAAACCAAATGATTACACAGAAATGTTCGTGTGCCCCTTCGTATTCGTAATGTGTCTCTTATTAAATGTTTCACGATCACGAACTATCTCTTTTTTTTATATATATACATATTTCTTTGTTCCCTAGTTGTTATCTAAATCTGTTTCTTTTTTTTTTTTCTTGTACGTCGCCCCAATTTCTTTGTTGGCTCTATAATCGTATTCGAACCGTAGAGACCGGAGAAAACGAGAACGAAAGAAAAATGCATCTTTATTTATTGCACTAACACATTGCGAAACTTGTTCGTCAGTATCGATCGCCGTGAAAATCCATCCCCCTTCGTTGCTCGTTCCAACGCGCACTCCAAAACCCTCATCTCTTCCCTCTCGTCAGATGTAATCCACGAAAGGCGTCCCACAGCTTTCTTTGAAAATTTAAGACCCTTCCCCGACCTGTGTATTTCGCACCACCTCAAGATGCACGCACGCTCACGCCACGAATTTACAGCGTACTCGGCGAAAAATGTAGTTCCGAGGAGAAGGTAACAAAAAAAAAAAATCGATCGACTCGTAGGACCCAGGCTCGCGTCTACGTTCCAGGTATCGCAACGAAAAAACGTTTCTCGAAAAACCACGAACAGATCACACAGATACTGGCTTGCACACCAGCGACTCGACACGTAATAAACATCCGACAAATTGATCAATACGTTTTGTTCCCTCGAATAACATGTTAATCACGCAAAACGGAGACTTCGAACTAGCCGTGTGTCGATTTCTTCACTTTTTTCAGCTTATCTAATCACTTTAACGGACGTGTTTCTTCCGAATTATATTAATCGAACATCGATTTAATCGAGAGATTTTCCATGCCACGATCGACGAGAGAATTGCGAAGAGAATTATCATGCATCGACAACATCGATTTTATTCGTGAGATTTTGCGACGAGAAGAGAACACGGAGAAAATATTACAGACGGAACTAATGCGACCGCATTGTGCATCATACGGGAAGCCCCGAAGCCGTGCGGTAAAAGGTTTAAATATAACCCGTTTGTTACTTTAAATATCTGCTGCAGCGCGGATAGTCAGTCGGGCTATATCGGTACGCAGTCTACTTGACTGGAAACACGGATGTTATTCCAATACGTTTCACCGTTGAAGATCAATTAAACGCCGGTGTATCCTAAAAGAGTTTCGTACCTCAAAGCGAATTACATCTACACGGAAAAAAAATCTTCGAGCACCAGGGCATTTTTTTTTCACAGCGTTACATTCGAATAAGAAATTATGCAAATTTTTGGTACCAATTCTATTTTATTTTTTTTAATACGATCCACATGAATTTAGAAAAACGTTCCCGAGCATCGACGTGCCGCACCGGTCAAATTTTACGATGAACGCCCCAAAAAATATAGGTTACAGACGTGAAGGGGCGGGAGCTTTAAAATTTTACGACTACCGAACGCAGTAACTCGGTCGTCATGTATATTTACCGCATATATTATAACGTTTTGATCGTCGTTCCCATGGAAAAGTTGTTCGAACAGGACGTACCCGCTACTAAATAACGAGAGGTGGCGCGAGGAGGATGGGTTTCCGTGTAAACCCGTTCAAATTCACCCTTTCCGGGAATGTTCAGGGATTCGATGACGCGAAAGCTCGATAACGTTCATTCGTGCCACTTGTCCATCGAGCATCCGATTAAAAAGATATTGGAAAATTCCTTACCGGTGTGGCGTGTTCGTTACGAGATCGATAGAAAAAAAGTCGCGTTCGTCCGACCGTGAACTAGAAGTACACGGTCTGTCCCAAAAATTTCGGAATTGAAATTCAAACAACAGTTTTCCGTGAAAATGATGATACTCTTTGTCATCAAGTAGTCAAAACAGTTTTCTTTCAGAGAGATGTGTTGTTTACAATAATTATAGAAACTCTGATAATGACTCTGATAATTCTTCTTCGAGATAGTGGAAAAGACGATAGCCGAAATTTTTTGGTTCACTAGTCATGAGTTTACACGACAATTTGATCTTAAATGGTACCTTAGAGTTTCATTATCCACTGTATTTATCTAATTCAAGTGCATCAAACTAATTCCCGTCGTACAAATTAGGAATGATGACAAAGAAAGGACAATCTAAAATCATTTTGATATTTATAGACCTGGGACGATTACTTTCTCCGCCATTTTAAAGAATTATCAAAGCTATTCCTGTTTTTATAATTTCCATGTGCAATATATCACTTCAGAAAGAATCTACTGTCAATAATTGCTGATAAAGAACGTGAATATTATACGAAGAATACCGTAGCGAGCGTGGACATTGCCACTAATTAACGAAAATAAATGAGGCAATAATCGAAATAGTAGACTCACTGTTTAGTCGACGACCGCTTTCGCCATGTACATTTCTATTCCCATCGACCTTGCACGGCTCGCCGCTGATAAACGACTGACATGTCAGGCTTGTCGCCACTGACTGATATACACGGGGCACGAATTCACACATGGCGTCGCGAAGCTGAATACCATGAAGTCACATTCGTGGAATAACCATCAATATCGTTAGGCCCGATAGAAGGACGTATCGCGAAACGCTTAATGAATGAAACCGCGCGCGTTTGAAATCTGAAAACAGTGCGACAGAGGAATTGCCACGTAAAAAATCGTCAAGTCTTAGAACACGAATCATGTGTCGCCAGTCACGTCATCCACTAAACTCTTATGTGTTACTAAATCATGTATGTACACACACGCACACAGCTGCACCTGTTAATATTCAGATTTCACAATATCACGAATTAGAGTGACTAATTTATATCTATGTATACATGGAAAAATTTGCTTGATGTTTGCACGGATATGTTAGTCTGAGTATCAACGGAACTACAGGAAATTCTTGATAAATGCTCGTAGAACTCCAGGTTAAATGTTCGTCCATTATTCCTAGTACAGTAAATCATCGATCAGTGTTCGAGGGCTCCTCGACACTGAGTGTTCAGACGTCATCGCCACTAAAAGAAGGGGGGCCTATGGAACCGATCAAACTCCCAGTGGTCTTAACTGGTTCCACGGGACTTCCCCTCCTCAGTGATGGGGGTGACGTCTGAACACTCAGTGCGGAGGAGCCTTTGAACACTCATCGATGATTTCTTGTATTAAGCGGGTCCTTCTTGGAACCAATCAATCTGTTAAAATCCTTTGTAATTTATGCACAGATCAGAAATCATGTTCATCCCGAATTGAGCATTCAGCAAGATTTTACTGTACTTGTACCCATGTTGTTAACTACGGTTGTAACCAAGACTTTCGATGTATCCAACTCCCTAATGAATCGCAGATCAATCGCTTGTGACTACAATGTTTCGAGGAAGCATCCCCCTAAACGATCCGTTAATTACTCACCCCCCAATCAGACATACAGGTTTCCATCCCCCACCCAGAATAATGGCCGTGTAACACAAAGGCTTCTTTTCATTAACAAAAACAAATCTGAACAAGCCCAACCTTCGTTTCTTCGCAATGTTCCAGGTTCCTGAACAAGAGCAGGAGCCAGGCGGCGATGATGGCCAGCCGGGAACGGGAACGGGAACGGGAACGGGAACGGGAACGGGAACGGGAACGGGAACGGGAACGGGAACGAGAACGGGAACGCGAAAGGGAAAGGGAAAGGGAAAGATAACGCGAGAGAGAACGAGAACGCGAACGAGACGCGGACACGGAGGTCGACTCCCCTCTGTCGGCAAGGTCGCGTTATGCCGCGTTAAAGGAACGAAGACAACGGCTGGCGAGGTCCAGAAGCTCGCACAACTTCGGCGGCGATGACCTCGATCTGGACGAGGAACCACCATCGCCGACCACCCAGTCGCCGAACGCTTATTTGGCAGCCAAGTACGGAGCCGGCTCTGAACTGGCCAGGAGTCGGAGCACCCATGCCCTGAAGTCGCGCGAGCCAAGCCCTGAACGCGACCGATCGGGGACTGAGAAAGACGGGGCAGCGCTGAGCTCGTGGGCGAGGTACCTGAAGAATAAGTACGGGAATCGAACCATCAAGGACAAGGAACCCTCGTCATCTACTTCGACGATACCATCATCGAGGTAATTTATCCCAGTGAATCCACCAGAAGGCTGAATTTTGTGAATTATGAATAGAATGTGGTGTTTCGATCGACGTACAGTGCGTCGACAATGGACGAAAGTCAAAAAAATTATTTAATATCCGACGATATGTATGCACTATGTTCTAATGTCTACATGACAATATTTATGAACATAAAAAAGAAATTATAAATTTTTACCCGAACGCCCATATTGTTTGGTCAAGGTATACAGAGCGGTGTAATGGATAAATCTTTGTTTGCAGTAGCAGCGCAACCTCGAGAAGGTTATCTCTCGGGCTACCTCTGAGGCACGCTGGTCAAACGTCCTTCGAATCTTCCGACGACGATCAAAAAAACCCGTCAGGCTCCCCCACGTCCCCTACAGCAGCTCCCGTTATACCCGCGGCAGCAGGTTCCTCCACTAGGTGAGTGTTCCCCCATATTCATGAATACGTACCTTATTTTACAAGAGTGACAATTCTTTGGAAATTATGACAGTAATGGCCGGAGGAGTCACTACTTGCTGAAGCGGCGGCAGCTGTTCAAATTCGGGATGCGGGGGAGCGAAGCCGGATGTTTTACCTGGCCGAGAGGCCTAGCTGTTGGCCCAGACAATTCCATCGTCGTGGCCGACAGCTCCAATCATCGTGTTCAAGTAACTATCTTAGCGTTGAGGACAGTAGAAATATTAGGAAAGGAACTTTAGTGAATCACACATGAATGTTAAACATTTCGAAAGGGTGGAACTAACGTGAATCATCGATGAGTGTTCGAGGACTCCATCCTGAGTGTTCAGACGACATCACCACCACTGAGTCCCTCATGGAACCCCAGTCGAACGCCCAGTGTTGGAGATGATGTCTGAACATTCAGTGTTGACGAGCATTCGAACACTCATCGATCATTTACTTTAGTTTGAATAGATTTTAAGAATCTAAATCGAGAAGATGTATTACGGTCGAAGTCAACGAGAATCAGTCATTTTTCCTGAAGATAGAAAAGAGCGTATCGTTATGGATCAACCCCCATTGAAATTCACAGGTATTTGACTGCAATGGAAACTTCATGAAGGAGTTCGGATCGTACGGAAGCGGCGAGGGTGAATTCGATTGCCTCGCCGGGGTGGCCGTGAATAGAATCGGGCAATACATCATCGCGGATCGTTACAACCACAGAATTCAGGTGCTCGATCCATCCGGCCGTTTTCTGAGAGCGTTCGGCTCCCAAGGTACCGCGGATGGTCGGTTCAATTATCCATGGGGCATCACCACGGACGCTCTTGGATTCATTTATGTGTGCGACAAAGAAAACCATCGCGTACAGGTACGTACATATATCTTGCAAGCAGAGGTCCCCAGGTATAAAGCTAATTTTTTAAACATTTTTAACATAATGATAAAGCTTGAAATTCTGAAGCCAATAATATTCGTTAACACGTCGACTTCCAACTACGAGATAACTCGTATTTGAAACATTACAAATAGGCTGGATTATTTAAATACCATTACAATACTTTTCTGTAAAATTAATATCACAGTGTAATTTAAAACAAGACAACCTACTTCTATTGACTAAACGCATACATTTTCAACTATTTATGACTTAAAAAACGAAATAAAGTGTGTCTGACTACGAACGACCTTTTTTCACTGTGGCAGTCATCGTGTTAAAGCCATCGCTGAAAAATCGAATCCTTCGTTTCGTAGGTATTTCAATCGGACGGCACGTTCGTGGGCAAATTCGGTTCCTGCGGTAGCGGACGTGGCCAACTCGAGCATCCTCACTACATCGCGGTCAGCAACACGAATCGCGTGATCGTCAGCGACGGGAACAACCATCGCGTCCAAATATTCGACGTGAACGGCCGCGTGCTGACCTCCTTCGGATCCGAGGGCTCCGACGAGGGTCAGTTCAAGTTCCCAAGAGGCGTCGCTGTCGACGATCAAGGGTACATCGTCGTCGCCGACTCCGGCAACAACAGGATACAGATATTCAGCCCAGAGGGCGCGTTCCTCAAGTCCTTCGGCGGCTGGGGCAGCGGTGACGGTGAATTCAAGGGCCTAGAGGGTGTTGCGGTCACGTCGACCGGTAACATCGTTGTCTGCGATCGCGAAAATCATCGCGTCCAAGTGTTCTAATTAATCTCCTTCAATTTTACTCTCATTCGTCCATACTCTTCTCCTCCCTCCTCTTCTTTCTAATCCTCGATCAGAGACTTTTCGAGCGTTCTCAAAAGGAGCTTTCAGAATCTCTCAAGATAATGTAACTAAAGATTCTTTCGACTCTATCGTATAATTAGAAGCTATATGGTCCGTACAATAATCAAAGGGATTTCCATATTTGACGAACAGTCGCATAGAAAGCGGGAATATAAAGGAAAAAAAATATATGAAGGCGCTTAGACGATACAGGATCGGTTCACCGTCATACGCGGGGGGAGGGGGGTGAGATGTCGCGTTAACTTGCTTGCTTTCGTTAGTTATTAACATAGTTGTTTGTGTTGAGCTAATATATTCGCGGGAGGGAAGCCCTTCTGGTACAGACCATGGAAGCTTTTATCGGGGGGGCGGGAAAAAAAGATTTTGATCCGATCGGTTGTTAGAGTTTTCTGGACTCTTTTATAACAGGATTTAGCTCGATTGTCTATTCCCTTAGTATGTGGCCTATTTAAATGTTAATACACCTCCTCGACAAAGTTATACGATGAATCGTTAATGAATACTGGGGCGACGAAAAATCTTGGACGTCGGTAGATTCGAAGATCACTGGCTTAAAAACGCGAGAGAATTGAAAACTGAATACCGTTGATATTTTCTTCCTCTCCCCCTCATCTTACCCCCTTTCTCCTTTATTTCTGTCACCAACCCTTGTACGCACATGATATCCGCGTAATTTAATTTAATTTATACTCAAATTGACAACACAAATACAGTTTGTACCGTTTGTATGCTTTAAATAAATTGTTGCGGAAGTATTAAAAGAAATTTGAAAAGAAAATATATAAATCTCACCTGTTTTTCTCCTCTCATTCAGTCGACGATTTCCTTCTAAAAAATATCACCCCCTTTGTTAATTGGGGTCATTCTGTGACGGTGGTCGGGAGTGTGTGCGTGTGCCTAAAGCTAGAATAGAACAAATAAACGGGGGGTTAAGTCAAAAGGTAAGTGAGTCAATAAATATATAATTTATTAAATGCAATGATGAAATGGTGTAACAATAGAGGGGCGGGCGAACGTCGATCGTTGTAACGATCAACGTGGAAGGGCGGACAAGAGGTAATACGCTGCCCCGCCCAGCACCCCCGGATCGGAAATATAGATAAAATATTTTCGTTATTATTTACAATATTAGTTGAACGTTAGTCAATAATAAATAATAAACAGTGGCGTAATCCTTTATTTAATTATAATTTAATAATGTAATATATTACGGTTTGCGATAATAAAAATATTACAAGAGATGGAGCCTTTACCATTATTCGTTTCCACTAAAAGTAGCACGAACCTGTATATTTTTTATTTTCTGTTTATCCTCATTATTGCCGCCATCGTTCCAAAGTTCACCGCGCGAAATAAAACGAATTTGCCCTTGGATCTTGAACGATCACGAATTTCGTGTCTCATCGGTGCCGTATAATATTACGTAATGTTTCGCTGTTTTATCTTTCCACTTTTCGGGCTTCATTTTGTAAATATTTAGTTTTTTTTTCCTTTCTTTTTGATTGGATGATCATTAATTCACAGAGGATCCAAGGGAATCTGCCTCGTGAACTTTCGAACGCGATTATACATCGGCTACGATGCAGATGTCGAAACAGCTGTCGAAACCATCAACCTTCCGGGATAGTCGCTCGTCGCGAAATCGAATGGGGATCCAACAAATGAATTTTCTTATCGGCGTTACGATTCCTCGATAGCTTGTAGTAAAAATCGCGATCGACGTCTGACGGCGACGTAGGGACGCCGCGAGACGTCGGATTATCACAACGAAATTACGCAACAATTCTTTGGACGTTGGTTGTTGTTGTTCTTGTTTTTGTTGTTGTTCTTGTTGTTGTGGTGTTGGTGGTGGTGTTCTTTACATACCGAATAAAATACAGTGCGTTGATACACCTCGATAAGACTAGAAATATGTTTTATGTAACGCACGGGCCAGGCAGGCAGCAAGCAGGTACAAAGTGACCGTCTTAATCAAGGAACAGTAAGTAGAAGATGAGCTAGGCACCGATATCCGATCGTTTCGACCTTTTCGACATCGTGATACAAACGTCCTACAGGATGTCTCGTTGTACATCAACACGAAATGACTCTTGTGGTCTCGAAAATTTGTATGAGTTTCAATTTTCAAAAAATGTGCATGGAAATATATTTTGTATTTATTTTATGTTTATCGATTCTCGTGTGAAACTTGCATCGGTAATTCCATTTTCTTCTCTTTTCGTTTTCATATCGACGAAGTTTTTCATTCTGTTTTTTAGAAGCACGAATTTTTTATGCCAATTTATCATTATGGGTAAACCGTGTCGATTCATAACGAGACACCTTACACGCGTACATATCTCGTGCGATATTTCTTCATTTCTGGAGACTGGACAATTGGAAATATTCGAATCTATAGCGCGAATCAATCATTCCCAATTAGAAGAGAAGTTTCTTGGTTTAATAGTCTTCTATAACCTACTGATTCGTCTCTGCATCTAAAAAGTTAGTTTGAAAAGTGGCATGACATTATTTTCATCTTTATCTTCATTCTCTGTAGTCGAGTTTTTTTTTCCTCTCTTTAATTAAGTAGTAATAAAGTTATAATTAATTATTTTGTTAATTAATTAAAGTGGCAGCAGTTAGGCCATGCGGCTCCTATCATCTAGTCGTCTTTGACTCTTGGCTTTCTTACGTAGATTTAAAAATTTGTTTACTTATTAAACTTTTCTTTATATTTTGAGAATAATTTGTATTAAGTGACTTTTAAAGTTTATGTATTCCTCGAAGCGCCTACCCTAGCGATGTCTTTTTTTTATGTTTAATTAATTAAGTTATTTTTTACGATTTTAGAGAACCGTGTGAAATATATTTCGTTCGCGGCCGTCGACTTTTCTAATCATGGGAACTTTCTATTTTCTCGAATGATAATTTCTAGATTTCTCTCGTTCTTGATCGTTTTCGAATCCCGGAAAAGCGACGTTACACTACTGTTTTGTGTTAGCGATCGGGCCGCTGCCACGGAAAAAGTCTCGAATAATATAAACCCGGCGTGTACGAATGCTAGGTATATTTGTCTTTTACAGAAACGTTTCTTGATTTTTCTCTATTCACCACGGAGGTCCGTTCGCGGAATTTTTCTCGTCTTAAGATTCAGAAAACATGATTGCCACGCTCGGAGGGTGTACAAGCCCGACAAGACTACAAAATATTCTTTTGTTACGGGTGAGAGACCACCACATTTTTAATTATTCCCATCGTTATCGGACTCGCTCCCCTTTCTTTACCGTCAATCTTTTTTTACGTTTTCTGGTTTAATCGGCATTATTTTCTTCTTATCCTCTTTAACGTACTATACTCGCTAGCCCTCGTTTAATAGTTTTCTTAAATATGTAATAAGCAAAAATATGAATATAATAATAGTTTTGTGTATATAATAATAATTATTACTTTACTCGTCTCATTCATTTTTAAGTATCGATAGGATCGTGATTAATTAATTAATTAATTAATTAACAATGATTAAAATATTGTAAGAATTTGTTTATCTCTCTTTGCTCATACGTTCTCTCCTCTTCGTCCCATTCGCATCCTTCCAC